GGGAGAGGACCGACCCTTGTGGCACCCCACAAGTTAGGGGCCTTGGGGCCGACCTCTGCCCCCCTGCCAATACAGACTGCGTGCGGTCGGTGAGGAAGGAGAACCACCGCATCACGGTGCCCCCCACTCCCAACTCCACCAAACGCCGCAGCATGATACCGTGGTCCACAGTATCAAAAGCCGCTGAGAGGTCCAAAAGGTGGAGTGGCTGTGAAATTTAATGCCCACTTTTGCAGTTTCAGCTTGCAATTTTTTACTCGAAAGAGGAGTCAGTAATTGTTGGACAATTTTTTTGGGAAATTTTTGAGTTTAAATTGTTTAGTTAGAGCTAGACCTATATATCCATCAACCGAAAGAAATGACTCTGAATTGTTTTGCTTAGATTTGTAAATGTTTTCCCTATTTAATGGAAATTTGTTTCCATCTGAATGGAATTTGATTAAATTGGAATTTGACTAACTTTATATTAAAAGCAATACTAGAGTTTAATATAAAACTATTTCAGTATCTCATTAATATCTCATTAAGCTTGTTTATCTTTTTGTGGAGTTGTTTTTTTGTTTTTTTTGTTTTTATGTCTGTGTGCAGGAATTGCAATTCAATCCTTGTTTAAAACAAAGAAGGAGTTGAGAAAAATTTTAGGATTATAAATAGCTATGCTGTTTTGATTAAAGATTTGTATGTAAAACTGTTAGAAAAAGAGCCTAATGTTAACAAGCTCAAGCAGAGTTTGGTGAGTGCTCCTTTGTTGGCTCTTCGCTAGGTAAATACGGACAAAGGAATGGCTTGGAGGAGGTTTTGACCCAGAAGTGGGGGGAAAAGAGGCAGCCAGTGGCATTTTTGTCTAAAATTGACATTTGGGGACGTCTTGGTGGTTAGCATTTCTTATCAAGTGTGGGCAATTTTAATCAGGAAGCCGAAAGGAGGTACACACTTGTTCATAGCAAAGTAGTTGGGAAAAAGAAAAGAACGAGAAAAAGAGAGAGACATAATGAAGATGTGATAGTAGATGGGGAGGAGAAAATGTGAGTGGAGGCTGGATGAATTTCCCTCCCTTAGTAAGCACAAACCTGTGGGCCTTACAGCAGGCTCTGAGGTTGTTAATAAGGGAGAAAGGGGAACATATACACTGACTCCAAGTATGCTTATGGAGTCTTGAATACTTTTGGAGAAGAGAACAGTAAAAAGATTGATTAATAGTAAAAGGGAAAGAGTTGGCTCATGTAAAGTTGATAGAAGATGTACTCGTGGAAGAAGAAAAGAAAGAAGTTATGCTAGAGTGGCAGAAGGGAAGTGAAGGAATGGATAATAGAAGGAAGAAACAGGAAAGTTGCTTTGCACAGACTTGTGAATTGCATGCATTAAGCAGGGAGACTGCCATTAACGTGGTCGGCCCAAATGTGTGAATTGTATGCCTTAACACAAGCCTTAGAATGTTGAAGGAACAAGAATGTACTATAGAAATATGGAAAGAGAGAAAAATGGAAAATAGAAGAAAGTGGGAGGTGGATGTTGCAAGATGGGAGACGGATGTTGAAAAGAAGGAAGGAAAACAAAAAAAAACAATGGCGAGAACACAGAAGCAGCCACTGAAGAGAGGGCGCGCAACTTGGGAGTCCTCCTGGATTCACGGCTGACTTTAGATGACCATCTGTCGNTGAATGAGGGGGGCTTTGTTCACCACTGACCTGGCATTGCATAGCATCAGCCGGTGATCCCGGGCCTGGGGATCTAAGTTCCCTGGAGACCGAGTAGAGCCCTGAGGACCGGAGCGCCCACACGCTTGTAAGCAGCGTGTGCGTGCTCCCCAAACCCGATATGGTCCTCTGCTCCCGCCGTATCTGCCCCTCCCACTGAATGTACTTTGCCTTTGGTTGTATCTTTAGTTCATTCTAGTTCCCTTTAATATCCAATTTTCCAAGTCTTACCTTATTTAAAACAAAAGAAAAGAAAAGAAAAGCATTTTCCCATAGGAAGGATTCTTTATAATTAATTCCAAATTTTTATTTCAAATTTATCTGGACCTTTAGTCTATTTGCAACTTTCTAAAATCAAAGTTTTAATTATCTTTTTGCTGTTTATTTAAAAAATTCAGAGTTTTTCTCTGTTTATTGTATGTAGAAAAATATATTTAAGCATCAAAGAAGCCCACTTCCACACATCATCAAATATTACCTGTTCACTTGCATTCATCCAAATTTTTATCTTGTAAACTACCGAACCATAAAAATCCTTCAAGGAGTATCTGATACCATTAAGTATAACCGGAAGGCTTTGGAGATGAACATCCAAGACTCCAGATTTTGTGGGAATAATTTGTACAATAGGAGGTACAATGATTGCTAAATGAGTTGAAAGAAAGAAAAGAAGATATTTATTTTTACTCTTTCTATAATCCATAAAGAATCCAATATACACCATGACATATAATCATCTTTCTTATTTACTCATTTAAAAATTTAAAATGTGGTTGTATATTTTTCATACCTACCCAGCAACAGTTGCTCAACATATTAATATTCTTGTGCTTTTCTTTACATTTTACTCCCTATGTCTATCTGCCATATTGTATCTGTTTCATTTTCCTAAAGATGCTAAGCAACAGCCCTGAATCTTGAGGTTTATTAGTCTGTACCTTTATTAAACAAAAGGTTTTGGGGCTCCCCTGTCTGTGACTGGATTCTGCTGCATATGTGAAGGAAAGTACATTAAAAAAGTGAACACAAGATTAGAAAACTCCCTCTAATCATAGCATTCCTCAAATGCAATTATTACTAGCTTTAGAAAAATAATCAGCAAATGGCTATCAAACCAAACCCACCATCTCTCATAGCTTCTCAAAACACGATAAGTATTTATGCCTATTACTTCAAAACAATATATGACCACAAAATATTGTCAAGAAATGGAACAAAATAAGAAATCTGCTTTGCAATATGTATGCATGAATGTTTATGTTTAGCAAATTGCTAAAGTAGGATTTGCTAAGAAAATGGGCTTCTACAGAGATTTCTATTTTTAAAATCATGTGGCCACTTTGTCTCATTCACTAAATCTATGGAGATCTGGATAATCTTATTTTCACTGCTTCTTGCATTTTTTATTATTAGAAAAAAAAATTAAATAAAAAAGGATAAAACCAGCATAGTGTATTTGATCCCAGTTCAAGTCATTTAATTTTTTTAAAAATCCATTAGGTTGGTTTTCTCAGGTTTAATATCTGCCAGCACTAAGACCAGCTTTGAAATCCTGCCATTGAACTTTTAAATAGCTGAACTCTAGAGAAGAGACACTTAGTATAAGAATTAGGTAAATAGAAACAGAGCAGTATCAGAACTATAGAATTCAATCTAAAACTATCAAGTTGCTTACAGAGGCAATATTGCTGCTGAAATCCATATTGCATGCTCCGTTTCCACTGGCAGAGTGAGCTACCATATTTGAGAACATGATTCTTGTAGCACTGTATATATAATTCCTCCCCATCCCCTGAGGAGGCCCGGGGCACGTGGGGAAATGGAGGAAAAAACCCACCCTAAACTCCTTGGGAGCCCTAACAAGCTGGCCTATAAGTTTTGGGAGATAAAATATTTGAGAACATGAATTGGAAGTTAGAGAGAAGATGGGTTTCTTTTAGATTCTGCAGAAAACACTCTTAGTGATAGAGGCGACCTAACATAAGAGGACTGAGAAGGAGCAGAAACTGACATGTGGGAAGCTCAGCTGATCCATGGTTATGGAACAGAGAACAATCAAGGGATGCCTGCAGCAGACCCGAGGAACTAAAGCAATACGTGAAAAGTCAGCCTTGGTAGTTCAAGTTGGTGCCCAGATTACTGATGAGCAAAAGTTTGGATTAAAAAGAAAAAGAAAAAATATTGTCTCTTTCTTTTTTCCCCTTAGCTAGGCCTTTTCCATTTCCAGAAGTGAAGAAAGGAGATTAGCATTCCAAAGCCAGCAATTAAGATAAGCAGTGCTTTTTTTCTAAAAAAAAAAAAAAAAAGGTGCCAGAACTCACACATGTCATATAACCTGCCTTGCCTACCCTACAAGGTTCCATCCCAAAAAGGTGCTGGAACTCCGTTCTGGGCATTCTATGAGAAAAAAAAGCCCTGAAGATAATTGATTGTGAGAAAAGGCAAAAGCTATGTGCAACCAAAGCAACATTAAGAAAATTATTAATGTGTGTTAGATAAGTATGTAGAAATCATTATTATTCAGATTTTCTTTAGGTATTCACTTACAGTATGCACTATAGTTCACTTAGATACAAAATAGCAATAGCACTTAGATTTATATACCCATCCATAGTGCTTTAGCACCTGGCAGGTGGTACGCGACCCCTAGCCAAGTGTAGCGGGGGAAGGAACAAGCTAAAGCAGCACTGTGCGGGCCTGGAGGAGATCAGCTGGAGCTGCAAGGCTTGGCAGAAGTCCCAGGGTCTGCATGCTGGTTGGAGCTTCCCACGCACCCGGAAAAGGAGGTGGAGGAGCGCTGAGAGATGAGGAGCTATAAAAGAAGCAGGTTTTGGCAGGAGCGGGAGAAAAAAAAACATGGAGAAAGAGAAGAGGCTTTTGTTAGCGAAGCGGTGAGGAGAGAGCAAGCAAGCGTCCTTTGCGAGCGAAGGGTGAGTGAAAGAGAGAAAAGCTTTTGTGAGCAACGTGTGAGTGAATGAGAGCGAGAGAGAAGCTTTTGCAAGCAATGTGTGAGTGAATGAGCGAGAGAGAAGCTTTTGCAAGCAACATATGAGTGAATGAGTGAGAGCTTTTGCAAGCAACATGTGAGTGAAAGAGAGAGAAACTTTTGCAAGCAACGTGTGAGTGAGAGTGAGAGAGAGAAGATTTTGAGAGCAACGTGTGAGTGAATGAGAGCAAGCGAGAGGCTTTTGCTAGCAAAGGGTGAGGGGGGGGTTGCGAGCCAAGGGTGAGAGAAAAAGAGAAAAGTGAGGGGGAGAAGGGAAAAAGAAAAGGCATTGACTTCTGAATTTCACTGTTGCAGTAGGAAAGAAGCATTAACATTGAACCTCAACTTTTTACTTTTCCATAATATTATAAACTAGCCATTTCTATAACAACAAATGAATCTAACCAGTAAAGCCCCAAATCCCCCCCTTTTTTTAGTCATCAAGTTTTTGACACCTTACTAAGCACTGGTGATACTCGAATATTATCATGTCCTAAAAGTGCTACAATCTGTGAAAAGGTTGAAAAGCCCTGCTTTAGAGCACTCTCTGAGTGGTTTACCACATCAGCATATTGCCCCCCAACAATCTAGGTCCTCATTTTACTGACCTCAGAAGCGTGGAAGGCTGAATCAACCTTGAGCCAGTCAGGACTGAACACCTGGCTGTGGGCAGACTTAGCCTGCGATATTGCATTCTAACCATCACAGTTCACAAAACTGAACCACAATTGTAATCTGTTGTAAATAGAATAAATGAAATTTATTGTGCTCTCAGCTCCATGTCTGAATCAGTTCCTATACAGTGAGGGAAAAAATTATTTGATCCCCTACTGATTTTGTATGTTTGCCCACTGACAAATGATCAGTCTATAATTTTAATGGTAGGTTTATTTTAACAGTGAGAGACAGAATAACAACAAAAAAATCCAGAAAAACGCATTTCAAAAAAGTTATAAATTGATTTGCATTTTAATGAGTGAAATAAGTATTTGACCCCTTTGCAAAACATGACTTAGTACTTGGTGGCAAAACCCTTGCTGGCAATCACAGAGGTCAGACATTTCTTGTAGTTGGCCACCAGGTTTGCACACATCTCAGGAGGGATTTTGTCCCACTCCTCTTTGCAGATCCTATCCAAGTCATTAAGGTTTCGAGGCTGACATTTGGCAACTCGAACCTTCGGCTCCCTCCACAGATTTTCTCTGGGATTGAGGTCTGGAGACTGGCTAGGCCACTCCAGGACCTTAATATGCTTCTTCTTGAGCCACTCTTTTGTTGTCTTAGTTGTGTGTTTTGGGTCATTGCCATGTTGGAATACCCATCCACGACCCATTTTCAATGCCCTGGCTGAGGGAAGGAGGTTCTCACCCAAGATTTGAGGGTACATGGCCCATCCATCATCCCTTTGATGCAGTGAAGTTGTCCTGTTCCTTAGCAGAAAAACACCCCCAAAGCATGTTTCCACCTCCATGTTTAACAGTGGGGATGGTGTTCTTGGGATCATAGGCAGCATTCCTCCTCCTCCAAACATGGGGAGTTGAGTTGATGCCAAAGAGCTCAATTTTGGTCTCACCTGACCACACACTTTCACCCAGTTCTCCTCTGAATCATTCAGATGTTCATTGGCAAACTTCAGACGGGCCTGTACATGTGGTTTCTTGACCTTGCGAGTGCTGCAGGATTTCAGTCCTATGCGGCGTAGTGTGTTACCAATTGTTTTCTTGGTGACTATGGTCCCAGCTGCCTTGAGATCATTGACAAGATCCTCCCGTGTAGTTCTGGGCTGATTCCTCACTGTTCTCATGATCATTGAAACTCCACAAGGTGAGATCTTGTATGGAGCCCCAGACCGAGGGAGATTGATAGTTATTTTGTGTTTCTTCCATTCGCGAATAATCACATCAACTGTTGTCACCTTCTCACCAAGCTGCTTGGCGATAGTCTTACAGCCCATTCCAGCCTTGTGTAGGTCTACAATCCTGTCCTTGACATCCTTGGACAGCTCTTTGGTTTTGGCCATGGTGGAGAGTTTGGAATCTGATTGATTGCTTGCTTCTGTGGACAGGTGTCTTTTATACAGATAACAAGCTGAGATTAGGAGCACTCCCTTTAAGAGAATGCTCCTAATCTCAGCTCGTTACCTGTATAAAAGACATCTGGGAACTAGAGATCTTGCTGACTGATAGGGGATCAAATACTTATTTCACTGATTAAAATGCAAATCAATTTATAACTTTTTTGAAATGCATTTATATGGATTTTTTTATTGTTCTTCTGTCTCTTACTGTTAAAATAAACCTACCATTAAAATTATAGACTGATCATTTCGTGGTCAGTGGGCAAACATACAAAATCAGCAGAGGATCAAATAATTTTTCCCCTCACTGTATTTTTAATGAAGTCTTTCTATTACTAATTTCATTCCTAATACTCAAGGTTGATAATCAATTCTCTAGAGATTTCTTGTAAAGAGTGTACTTGAAACCAAGTTTATTTTTAGTTTAGTTATTTTTGAGAAGTCTTTGATATTAACACAGAACTGTCACTGGAAAAAATCAGGAAGAAACTCTTTTCCCATTTAAATTTTAAGGCATCTTTAAAATTTGCCTTTGTTTTAATGGTAAACTTGATGAAATGGTATTAGCAGGTTCAGTAGTCAGTGGTAAAATAAACAACAATGACTCCCAGGATTACGTGATGGTTGTGATGGTTCCCACAATTTGATAAAAGCGTTTAAATTTCCTGAGTAGGATGCTTGGAAGGGGTAGTAATGTAAGATCTGAATATTGCAATAATTCAGCAAACCCATTACAAGGGGTGTCTGCAGGGTGTGATTTTTAAAAGTTAGCATTACAACATAAAGATTACAACACTGAACAAATTTCATGATGCCATTTTTAGTTTTTTTCAAGACTGCCCTACAGATACCCGGTCATTACTTAACTCCTTTCTCTCAATTCTGGGTTCTGTTGAAAACTGAGGTTGCTACTATAAATAGAAAGGGTAAGAACAGCTGGCTTTTAAAGCATTGTTTGCAGCTGACCTGATATTCTGGTAGGTTACAATATGAAAGAACTTCTATTTTTTTAAAAAAAAGATAGTCTTGCTAATTCTCTCCAAAAACAGGTAACTTAATCTGACTGCCCCCGAAAGAAGCTGTGAAGTCATTTTTATACAGCTTGTTTCAGTAGGAAGCTCTGCCACTTGAAGCAAGAAAAATGATTTTAATATAAAACATAAAGTGATTTGGAGATTAGTTGCATTTTGGACTAAGAATTAAGACCAATGTTTTATTACTAAAGAAAATATTCAAATTCCTCTGGACAAATATGCATAGATTGCAAAAAAGGAAACAACTTCTGTGAAATATTATTATTTCCTAATTTTAACTTTTTCTGGGGAGGATGGATGCAGGGATTTAAGCCTTTCATTCTGTAACTTTGTTAAAGCTATTCATTGGTCCCAATATTAAAAGTGTGGTGAAGTTTATTAACACTGATAATTTTCTATTAAAAATATCAGTGGCAAGTTTATCAAAATTTATGTTTATACCTTACTAGAATAGTAAAGTTCGACAAGAGTCAAACCTGACATTTAAAAAAAAAAACAGTATCCCCTCATCATGACAGTTGTATTAGAAGAATAACTTACTGTCCTTGTATGGTGTGAAGTTAAGATATATCCAGTGCGATTGTTTATGCTCAAATTCAGCTCTAATTCTTAAATGAGAAAGACCATATTTAGGTATATTTGAAATATTGCACTCTGTGAAGTATGTTCTTCGGCACAAGTCAATGAATTCTGACTTCAAACTATTTTTTAAAAAGGAAACAAAATTATTACAGCTTTCTTTCATATGCTGAACAATTGTATTCATTTTCAGATTGATCTTATATTAACAGAAACATCTCATACTGATTAGAATAAATATTTTATGCCTGTCTACTAAGAAGTCCAGTTCTCTTTAATCAGGATGAATATTAGATAAAAATTAGGGCTGAACTTTAGCCATTTAATTTGACAGTTCATTTGTGATGTAGAATATTACATAGAAAAGTATTTCCTTATTTATATTCTTTTTAATTGAAGCAAACAATATTATCAAATAAAGATGGAAACGAATAAAAAAGAAAAGAACAAAACTAAATGTGAACCACACACATCCCAATAAAAAGCATGTTTAAAAATTAAAAAGCAATTTACAGAAGTAATACCAATATTAAAGATTTCTATCTTCAGATAAATTTGTACAATGAAGATAATATTCTAGAAATGGGTTATTAATATCTATAAATGATGAACAGATTTCAATGAAGTTATTCTTAACTGTAAAGTTCCTCCAAAATCTTTGTATTCTGAATGTTCTTCTTTGTTGATGGGATGTATATTGCATTGCACAGTAGTCTCTGTATTAGAGATCCTAGCTGGCATAGAATATTATGAACATGCTTTGAATAAAGCAAGGCTTTGTGGCATATTGGTCAAATCTGCAAACCTGATTATTTTGTCCTTATCATTAGCCTAACCTACTCTTTTTTTAAAATGTTACTAAAAAATATTATGTGTTTGTGAAACTAAGAATAAGGGAAATGCAACAATAGATCTAAATGAAGGTGACTTAGTATTGTGAAGTACAGCTGATAAATAATTGTGTGATGAGAAGTTTTGAATATGGGACAGGCTATTTTTGATAGTATCAGAAGTGGACGGGGGGGCGGGATGGACTTGAAAGAAAAGGAAAGAAGTGGAAGAGTGAAACTTGAGTAATTGCAAGAATTGTGACTAAAAATTATATGTAAACTAGTGTTAGAAATTGGTTAATATCCTACCAGTAACAGAATCAATGCAGAACATAAAGAAAGTTAACCAGGAAGCTGTTACAAAGTGCCCTAAGAGTGTTTGGAGTTACACTAATGGAAAAGTATGAAAAAGGATGCTTTATAGGATAATGAAATGAAAGAGACTTATGTATGAGGAAAAATGGATAAAAGCGAACGATGGCTAAAATGAGAATGAAAGTGAAGTTTTGCAATAAGCCTCCAGCAGAATGAATAGAATTAAAAATAAAAGTGAAATTATCTGGATGAAATCGAAGTGAAACAAAGCTAGAAACATATGTTACAGATTTATATGAGTTTAATAGTATTGTATTGAAGAGTGAAAGGAAAATGAAAAGGGAAAATGGATAGAAAAGAAATCATTTGCTATAAGAATGTTTAAAAAAATGGTAAAGCTTCATGTGCAGATGGTGTAACTGGAAAAATGTTAAAATGTGGAGTGGCTGTTAGAGCTGCTAAAGCTGCTTAGGTTTGAGCTGAGTCTGAAGACTGCACCTCTGCCTGACAATTGGAAGAATGCTTTTGTTATTATCTTATATAAAGGGAAAATAAAGTGTCAGTGTAAAAACTGAAGAGGAGTTAGTTGGTTAAGAATTCCTGGAAGTTTGAGAAAATTCTTAAACAGGTTCAATTTTTATTGAATGGATATAATGGGGAAGCCAAATTTGGGAAGCACAGCTTGGCTTTATGTCAGACAACAGGTATGCAGACCATATATATTTTTAAACAAGAATAAAGTATATGGAAAGTTAACAAGAAAATGTGTGTTGATTTTAGAGAAAGTATATGATAAAAGCAATAAGCTTCAATTATGGAATCTTTTGTGTAAATGTAGTGATAAGAGCAGCATATGATGGGAGATCATGAGAAAATAAATGGTATATCTGGTGAATGGTGAGCAGAAAGTAAAGCAAGAATATGTAATTGGCTCTAGGCTGTTTAATGCATGCATTAATAAATATGCAAAAATGCATAGTGGTGTTAGGGATGTGCTTATTAGGGACACAAATGCATGAACCTCTGTATACATACAATAGTGGACTGTTGGCTGAGAACTCAAATGATTTACACTCAGTATACAGTATAAAATCAGCCAATCCTATAGGAAATCAACTCTGTTCTTTGGAAGGACAGATACTGAAGCTGAAGCTCAAATAGTTTGGCCACCAAATGAGAAGAAAGGATTCATTGGAAAAGATTCTGATGTTGGGAAAGATGGAAGGCAAAAGGAGAAGGGAAAGGCAGAGGATGAGATGGTTAGATAGTATCATCAATGCAAGGGACATGAATTTGGGCAAACTCCGGGAGGACAGCCCCCCCCCCCGGGTACTATAGTCCATAGGGTTGCGAAGATTTAGCAACTAAACAATACAATACAGTATAATGCAACATGGATTATGGATCTGTAAAAGAATGTTTGGATTATGGATCTGTAAAAGAATCAAAGATAGTTATGTTGGCAAAAAAATGACATGAACAAATGCATATGACAGCAAGTAGATTAATCTACTGCAGCAAATAGATTAATTTTTATGCCTTGGCAAAATGTTTATTAAGAAAAAGAAATGGGTAAAAACATTTTAAGATTTATATGACAATGTGAGATGCAAAGAACTGATATTTGTAAAAATAAATGAAATGTCTGTAAATAATAATGTATTTTTCCTGCACTTTGTTGCACGCGAATGGGAATTAGATTGTTAGGAGGAACATAAAAATAATGTGAATGCAGTGTGTAATGATAAAATAAGATGAGATAGAGTTCAAGCATAAATATGAATTTCAAAAGTGGTTTGCCATTGCTTGCTTCCTAGGGCTCAACCACCCAGCTGGCTCTGTGTCTAAGGCAGGACTAGAATTCACAATCTCTTGGTTTCTACCCTGGTGTGTTAACCACTACACCAGACTGACTCTTACTCCACTTACTCCAATGATACTTTACCATTACCAGCTCCTTATAATATATTAAGATAAATTGGGTAGAAATATTAAATTAATTAATTTTTAATGTCAAAAAGTTGAGGCAATAGGGATAGTTCCTTACACAGTTCTTATCATTTTTAGTTATAAGGTATTTTATACTTGTTTTGTTGTTTCAGCAGATTTTCTCTGTTAAAAAAAAGATGTAAAAGAAGCAATCGGAAGAGATTGCATATGAAGACATCATAATTATATCTCCATAAAAAACTTATATTTGATAATATACCTGATGATATTTTGTTTTTAAAGCTGCATGTATATGTAAAGTTAATCCAATTCTGGAGTATAGATTATCCTAAAATTAATGTTTGTAGTAAACCATCACTGGATACTTTTTAAAAGGTTAAAGAACTTTTGGAATGCATGCACAATATAATTCAAATTTCATATTATAAGTTGTTATCCAAAGAAATTTTCCTCCCTTATAAATGGATGGGAAAATAAATTGAGAGAATAAACTAGAATATACATTCAGTTGTATAACAACATGTGAATAGCACGAAAGAAGCAAATTATATTTTGGTATGTATTGTGAAAAGTATCCATTCTTACGTTTACCTTTTAAGTTGAACTGTATAGGTTACATTTCCTTCAGAAAAATTTGATGGATCCCACAGGAGAACACTATCAAGCATAACTGAATTAAATCGTATATTTTGAGGCTCTTGTATAATTGCACGTGCTGTAATATGCAAAGAAGAGAGAGATACTGTTCAATCTTGACATTCTTTCACTGACAGAATAAACGATTCGCGCACATATACGTTTCAACACATTATAGTTAATTATTGATATTCATATAATTTCAAAAAAAATAAATGACAAGGCAAATCTCAGCTGTTCATAAAGAATACACGGGGTGTCCAAACTCTGAATCCTGATGCCATTTTGAAGATTCTTGAAAACAGGATTCCTGAAGTCCTACTACAGTGTTTCTCAACCTTGACAATTTTAAGGCATGTGGACTTCAACTCCCAGAAATCCACAGCCAGCATTGCTGGCTGTGGATTTCTGGGAGTTGAAGTCCACATGCCTTAAAATTGTCAAGGTTCAGAAACACTGGTTCAGAGGCTCAGTGCACCGTTAACACGTGAGGAGGGGCAAACACTGCCGCCACTTTCGGCCAGAGAAAGGTCGCCCAACTTTTCCAGAACCCCTCTGCCTACTCCCAACGGCTGCGAAAAATGCGCTTTTTCCAATCTTAGCTTCGCTCCTCCTTTAACCCAACTCACTTGACCAGAAGACGCAGCCGCAAATTAGACACCACCAGCTTCTCGGGACCATTCTCGGCTACCATCGCCAGTCGCCGTCCTGGCTTTGCCTCGCCCCTGTCGGAAATAAAGAGCCTTCTGCGCGCAACGCGCACGTAGCCCCGTGGTGAATTCCTCGGGAGTAGGCTGGGGGCGCCCGCTTCTCGGCAGCGTCTGGTCACACTGGGGGCGCCTTCGCTTTGTTGAGCGTTGTTTCCCCTCGTTACCCGAAACTCACCGCGCTCTTTCTACCACACTGCCTTGTTTGCAGTGCCGTCGCGGTAACAAACCAGAGTAATCCCTCTTTCGGTAGTTACAGAAGGAGAAAAAGCGAAGCGCCTCCGCCCCCGCAGTGCGCTCTTTCCGTCTGCCGAGCCAGCACCCAACATCAAAGCTCCACCTACGTCACGGGAGTAGCAGCTTCTATAGGTGGCACCTTTCGGTTTCTTTCCAAAGTGAGGGCGAAGGAGCGGCTCGGTAGTAGCCGCTGCCGCAAAGCCTGGTGTGTGTGTTTTTTTTGGCCCCGTCTGGTATGCCTGGTGTGTGTAGGTTTTTTTGGCCCCATCTGGTATCACCGACTCCGTCTTTCTGGGTATTTAAAGCAAATAAAGCGGTGTGTAAATTACGGGGGATAGAATGGAGGTGGAGAGGCGGGAGCCTGTGTGCCTTGCAAATTGTGGCAGAAGAAGAAGGTAGAAAGATTGTAGTTTGCAGACTGTTGGTATCTAACCAAATCACATTGCTTGAAGAAAGTAGGGTTGCCAGGTGTCCACTATTTGAGCGGACAGTCCACTTTTTTCACATTATGTTCACTATTTTTTTTCACAAATAGTGAACATAATGTGAAAAATAGCGGAGAAGCGGGGGGGGGGGGTTAAGTAGTAAAAAAAGTAGACCGTACAGCTTTAGATTACGTACCACTTCATCATAAAGCTTTTGAATAAAAAAAATGTCCACTATTTTTTTTCACAAAATAGTGGACATTTTTTTTATTCAAAAGCTTTATGATGAAATGGTACGTAATCTAAAGCTGTACAGTCTACTTTTTTTTACTACTTAACCCCCCCCCCCACTTGTCCGCTATTTTTTGGAAGCAGACCTGGCAACCCTAGAAGAAAGTGTAGGTGCAAAAGAGTTGTAATGCTGGCAAACCTAGAGTGAGATGGTTCTTTCTCACTGTTTAATGCATTTCCGTTTTTTTTTAATTCCACTAACACTAACCGATCAGTTTTGTTGGGTGTTATGGAAGACTTGGATGCAAAAGAAATGGAATTGATGTTGAACTTTATAACTGCTGCAAGACTACTAGTAGCTCAATATTGGAAAACGGAACGTTTACCTACTATAGAAGAATGGTCACTTAAAGTCTTGAATTTAGCAGAAATGGCCAAGATTTCCGCTTATGTGAAGGATCACTCGCAAGAAAGATATATTTTGGTTTGGAGAAGATGGATAGATTATATTGAGCGTAAATATGGGACTAAAAAATATCATTTGGTTTTTGAGTGAATTTTAGAGTATTATTGTTGTACAAAGGCTAGAATATTTTATTTAGTATTATTTTTAATTATTAAAGTGTTGTTATTATTGTTTTTAATAATTGTATATCTGTTTAAAAGAGAGTTAAAGGAGGTTATAGATATGTTATTTTAATAGTTGATTAATGTTAATTAGAGTATGATTATGTTATTGTTAACCCTGTGATTGGCACTGAGAAGTGAGGGGGGTGGAAGGGTGGGAAGGGGAAGGGGGGATTTATATTGTAAAATTTTATAAAATTTTCAATAAAAAAAAAACACTAACCGATCAGTGATCCTCCTTGAGATTGATGTCTTTCTTTTCAAATCAGGAAGGTCCTTGTTTTTAAAAATAAAACATGAAGAGAAAGGGTATTAATTTACCTCATTCCATAAAGAGGAAGTATATTAACTAAGTTTTCTCTCCTGTTTTCAGTATCATGCAAGATGGTGCAAGCACCTGCATATTTTGGTGTGTTTTTTTTAAGTGTAGTCTGTCAGCTGCTAACATCTGATGTTCTTGCTTTGACAACAAGTGGAAATGTAGCCATCTTTTCTTTTTTGCTTTTAGAGTTAGTTGGTGCTGGGAGGGTGTGTGTGGATGAGAGTCCAGTTAGTCATAACAATAATAACTCAGCTGTGGGAATCCAAGGTTATTGCACCCAGAATTGATAAAGATTTGGCAGGCTGGAGAGCTGGGGAGAAACCCCACGCTTCAAGCTAATTGGGGACTGTGATTTATGATTGTAAATTGGAGGAGGAATTGTGCTTAACTACTTTGTGCCTAGGGGAGGGGAATTAAGTTTTTGGCTTTAACTATGTAATGCTGATACTTTGTTTCTGGAATAAAAGATTCTTTAAGGTAAACAATGCCTCAAAGTTCTTTTGAAGAGTTTCATCTGTTGGAACCATGACACATAGTCCTTTAAAGTCTTTTCTCCTTTTCATCTAACCACAGCACTCTTTTCGGCCACACCCCAGGACGGTATCTTCATCTCATTCCCAGCTCATGAGAAAAGTTTAACTCATCTTTAACTGCAACAATATCACAATATTATTTTAACACGGCCCACCCCAGCTCTGGCAATGTGAAAAAAGTCTTCTCTTACAGACAAGAGATAGATGAAACCTGAACATTTTTTCTCACTTGAGAGAGTTCAAAAATAGAAATAGGAACTAGTATTGCAACAGAAAGTCAGAAATGCAAGACATTCACAGCTGATGCATGTGGTTGGAAATCCCCTCATGAAATGCAAATATCCATAGGATCATGTTGGAAAATTAAAGATGAAAAATTCCCCTCTGGAAAATCCAAGATTACCAGTGATTCACCATTTCAACGCATTTTAATGCTTAGTATTGCATAACACTGTTGCAAGGCTCAAACATTTTACTGCTTGAAACAAAGTCATAATTTTATTCTGGGATGGAATATGATTTGCCATCTGATATGATTTTAATGAGGTAAATTAGGAGGTACAAATACCATAAAGTGCTCAGGAGGGGCAGTTTAGGGATTACTGTTCTTCCTTAACAAACAGCATAAATGGGGAATTCAGGAACTTTCACTATTTTAGATTAATTAGCTTGATTTTTATCCTGCTTTATTATTTTTATAAATAACTATGGGGACGTACATAATACTCTTTCCTCCTTCCATTTTCCCCACAACAACAACCATGGGAAGTGAGTTGGGCTGAGAGAGCATCACTGGCCCAAAGTCAGCCAGCCGACTTTCATGCCTAAAGTGGGACTACAATTCACAGTCTCCTGGGTTTCTAGGCCAGCACCTTAACTACTATACCAAACTGGCTTTGAAGTAATCATAGCTTTATGACACCCAAAACCAAACAATCTGCAATTTGGTTAATTGAGGTTGGTGATAATCAAATTTTAAGCCATAGTATATGAAGGCAGTTTATTTTTAATAACTCTGTTATTAAACTGTTTGACTCAACTATCCTTTTTCCTGGTCTTAAATAATGTTATTATCCCTATTAAAGAAAACCAGACTCTCTTGTATCACACAAGTGTCTCAGCTGTGGCCATTTCAAACTGAATCTTTGACTCACAAATAAGCAATTATAAATTGTTCCACTAACCCCAGAATATGCCCAAATTACCTTCAGTTCAAGAACCATGATGATAGCCACTCTTAAGAGTAATTGTATGTATGTGCCTCTATCACCTATAAGGTGTCTCTGGGTGGCTGTCTAAAATGGAGGTGGATTGACTTCAAAAGCAATTTGAATCAAATTTGACTCTTGGTTAACCACCAGTACAGATTTCTTGGCAACTGTATAAGGTGGCTCACCATTGCTTTCTTTCAGAATGTTTTTTCTCCCAAATTTCTCAACCAGCCTATAACTCTAGTACTCTCTAGTCTGCCTTTCAAGTACTAACCAGGTCCAAATTATCTTAATCCTGGAACCCAAACTGAGTCAAGTGCTGCTACTGCTAAGATGTAGAGCAGGGGTGTCAAACTGCCGGCCCGCGGGCCAGTATGTGTCATCCGGAAGCCGTGCCCATCCCATTGCTGGCAATGGCAAAACCGTCCTGATACGTTGCGCGACGTCACGTGACGTCACGAGTTTGACATGTCTGATGTAGAGTGTCTTAAAAACATAATTTGGAATTTAAAGATAGAGGTCTTATTTAAAATATAGTATGTGAACATTAAAAATAAACAGAACAGCTACAGATTGATTACAGATTGTAACTTTGTTACAATGCATTCATTCAAAATATTAATATATTTGAAGGTCTGGAGAACAAAAATAGCTTTGGTACACTGGGGGGTATTCACAAACTGAGGGACTACCCTAAAAATGTCTGCTTCTACACAATTTGTCATTTCCTCTAAGCATGACGAGGCCCAGAACAGGGCTTTTGTTCTAGGCTATAGAAAGGCACATATGGGAAGAGTATTCTTTTGGATAGTGTGATTGCAGGCCATGAAGAACTTCTTGTTAATAGCAGCACTTTGAAGTTGACAAAATATAATACTAATCCTTCAGAACTCTTTGAGTGTAAAAGAAATTGATTGTGTTTCAGTGAACTTCAGTCTTCAGCATTCTTCCCTGCTACTGTTGATGTAACCATGAATTGTATAGAATTTTTCTCCATTTCATAAAAGATCAACAGATGTATGGTGTCATTAGACATATCTGCATCTTTTGCTTGCCGTAGCACAAAGAAATTCCATCAACTATTTGTAGAGGACATATCCTCACTATATTTCCTCCATCTCACTGCCATCCTGAATTTGAACTAAGGTACTTAGGCATAAAAATAGTATTTTCACTTGTATTTTAATAGAAGACTACCTATATGGACATTCTAAAGCGCACTGAAAAGGAGCACTTGGAATTTGCCAATATGCTGAAGTCTTATTAGCCTGGTAGGTCTCCAATGGGACCATCCCCTTCTGATTGGTCATCAGGTCCTCTACTTCTATGACTATTTTAGTTGTGGATATAAGGTCAGATTTATTGATTGCGCAGACTATTTATTTTTCCTAGCATGGGAATAACAACCTAGTTAGAAATGAAACTGCTATGTCCCATTTCTAAGCAAAAATAAACTAGTCTCTTTATGTGATCCTTGGCATTCATTAAGCTCATGAATTAATAATACATTTGTCACTTTTGGTAAAAAGATCAAGTTTCTGTGATTCCTCCTTAGTGAGCCACAAGCTGCAAGTCCCTGCATACTGACCACCCTACATTACCAAGACAGGCATGGATTTCCTGCCAGCTAATGCTACCAGCTCATTGTTTTATATTACTTTCATTCTCTACTCCTTTGCTGTTATAGGTGGGATAAACATTAATCTTGGGGGCTTTCTCC